TAAGATAAATTACTCATTTTCCAAAACTGAAAAGGATAAGAAATAGATAGAGAAATAAAAAGGAAAGAAATACATGAACCTTGAGAGATTCCACATGTTTTATAAGTTATGACAAATTGTTCGTCCATCGGACTGGGTTTTCCGGATCAAGAATTCACCTTAGCCGGTTTCCTTTTGGAGTTGTTCTTTGGTCGGACCTTTACAAAAGCGTTTTGGAGATCCTGCAACAACAACAACAAAAGGGTTTGTCGAAATTAATCAACAAACAGCGAACCTCTTCGTAGACTACTAAATTTTTTTGTAAAGGATACATTAGCAGATGAACACAAACAGAATAATGCCCACCGTAAATATCACAATACACATCTTAATCATAAACTTGATCCTAAAAGAGCAAGAGAGGCAAGTAGTCATATGGTGGAGATCTAATGACTGGTTAGTTCAAAAGACAGTCCTTGCCATATCCTCATACCACTATAGTATCAAGGAGACATGCCATAGTTAAATCCCCCTCATCTCTGTAATGAACATACTACTTCCTAATGCCATCTCCCATCTTAACTATTGGATGATGTATAGACACAAACCCAAGATAAAAATTTCAGCTTTTATTCACGATCACCCGATACAAGCAGTAGTAACCAACCTACATCAAAGTCCTTGTTAGGATTGCAAAACATGTGAATTTTGTTTACCTGATCTGAAGGATCATTATCAGATTTCTCAGCAGTCCAAAAGCTTTCCAAATTGAAATAAACCCTTGCCTTCTCATCAAGTGCATGGACTACAAACTTTCCTACACGGAGAGGAATATCGCATACAGAGAATGATAATCACAACCACCACAATTCTAATGAAACCAGAAATCAAGTCTTGTTAGATACAAAACACGAACCGTAGTCAATGACAATCCACTTGCTGTGGTAGCCTTGCACAGAAGGCAGCATTATTTGTTTGGCTCCTTTCTGCTTTTGCTTAGCCTGCGTGAGCGAACAAACCAATGATCACTCTGAAATTGAAACATCTTATCACAAAATTAGACTATCTAAATGTTTGATTAAGGACTCAAGAAACAAATGAATCAACGATTCTCGAGGCAATACCCTGTAGACTAGAGCCTGAGCAATATTCCTTAAATGCCAGTCGGATCTTCCGGTGGCGATGATGGCGAAATCGGCCCAGTAACACTGATTCTTTGTGGGGATCACCGTGACGTTATCAGCTTTCACGTCGGCGAGTATCTTCTCCACTTCGGAAACCGTGAGAACCTCTGAGATATCATAGGCCGGAGAAAAAGAAGGAGAGGCAGCGAAGAAGCGATTGGGAGCAGAGAAACCTAGCTTCCATGATTGTTCTAGAAGTGACGGTGAACAACGAGATCGGAGAGCAGCCAACATGAGCTAGCTTGGTTGCGAAACGGGGGCAATTACAGAGTCTAGCGGCACACGATTGACCTGAACCGTCCGTGATGCGCTCGCTACATTAAATGCAAAAAACAACTTTTAAAAGCTTAAAAATACAAAATTTCGATTTTATGATTGTTTTCAGAATTTATATTTTCAATTATATTGTTGGTTTGAGAATTTTTTTTTTGTAATTCTCAGATTGATTTGGTGCTTACAATCTAACCGATAATTATTTGGGTAAACACATGAGGTTTATAGATTTTACAAGGGGGTACTTGGTCCATCCCTTTTTGCGTGTATATGTCCTTACTGG